GATTTCCCTCCGTGAGGGCCTCTCCTAGTAATTTTTTAGACAATTGCTTAAAAACTTTGCAAAATCTGACTCTAAAAACAATAAATTTATGACAGTTAAATGAATCTGTGTTCTGTTTTTAGCTATGATCTGTTTTCTTGTAGTAACTGAATTTTATTCCAATATGGAGTATACTAGTGTAACAGAAAGTCTTAAGTTAGTATCTGGATAAAGAACAAGAAAGATAGTTCTGAGAACTGTATGTGTGGGCTTTTCATTGTTCTTGTTGTTATAATTTTCTTTTTGACACCCTTCACCCATTTTTCACACCTCCACCCCCAACCTCTAGCAACAACCAACCTGTTCTCTAAATCTATAAGCTTGTTTTTGTTTTTTAGATTCCACATATAAGAGAGATCATATGGTATTTATCTTTCTCTGTTTGACTTATTTCACTTGTTGTAATCCCCTAGAGGTCCATGTATGTTTGTCATAAATGGTTAAGATCTCATTCTTCTTTATGGCTGAGTAATACTCTGTTGCGTTTGTTTATGTGTGTGCATGCATACATAGAGCATAGCTTCTTTATTCATTCATCCATAGATTGTCACATAGGTAGCTACCATATCTCAACTACTATAAATAATCCCTCAATGAACATAGAGGTGCATATATATTTTCAAGTTACAATTTTTGCTTTCCTCAGACAAATACGCAGAAGTAGAACTGCTGGGTCTTATGGCAGTTCTATTTTTAATTTGGGGGAAGCATCCATACCATTTTGCACAGTTGCTGGACCAATTTACACTCACATTAACAGTGCACAAGGGTTCCCTTTTCACCAACATTTATTTCTTGTCTTTTTTAGGCTGCACCACATGGTTTAGGGGATCTTACTTTCCTAACCAGGGACTGAACTCAGGCCATGGCAGTGAAAGTCCCATGTGTCAGAGAATTCCCTTTTTTGTCTTTTTTATAGTAGCTATTCTAACAGGTGTGAGGTGATAACTCATGTGGTTAATTTACATTTCCCCAGTGACTAATGATGTTCAGCATCTGCTCATGTACCTGTTGGCCATCTGTGTATTTTCTTTGGAAAAATGTTTATTAATATCTTCTGTCCATTTAAAAATTAGATTGTTTGGTTTTTTGGCCATTGAATTGCATGAGTTTTTAAAATATTTTGGATATTAGCCCCTTATCAGATACATGATATGCAAATTAATTTCTCTCATTTGGCAGGTTGCCTTTTCATTTTGTTGAGGATTTCCTTTGTTTTATTTTTCCCAGTAAATAAACTTTGCTATCTAAGTCATTATTATTTTGATAAGCCAATTCTGATAGTAGACAGCTTAGGTTTTCGATAGAGCATTTTTTTGTTAAACTTGAAAAATGGTAATGAGGACCTTTTAAAATAGTGTTCTACAACCATTCTATTACAAGTTTGAAAAAATCAGAAATACAGACTGGATCTTTGTTCTATGATACATAATGTGCCATTTCTACTTTGTACTATTATTTCATTTTTCCTGTTATGGTTTACTTTTTCCATAGTAAGAGAGAATCTTTCAATAAACACAATTTATGAAGATAATTCCTCATTATAAACAGTGCTTACAAAAAGTAAGTAGATATTTAAACTTTCCCTTACACAGAAGAGAAAATACAACAAAGAAAAGTTAAATAAATTACCTGAAGTTATAAGAACAAGTCAGAAAAAAATTGAAGTCTTTCAAGTTTTTTCTGGAAGTCATAACTTCCAGAAAAATGTAATTGAATCCCCACAGAAGATGCTTCCTATTTAAAATGTCCATTATGTTGGACCTATTGTACTATTTTTTTTCTTATTGTTCCTAATCTATTGTATGTTGTTAATTAATTTAGTTAAGAAGCAGACAGCAAGCCTAGAGATGATCTATATAGTTTCAGTTTAAACAACTTCTAAAAATACAGTTGGATCCTTAAGGACAAAAATTAGAAAACTTTCCAAATGTGCTTATAAACAAACCATGTATCCTTCACCAACCTGAAAGCCGTGATTTAAGAAAATTAAATTTCCTAAAAACTACATGACTATGAGCAGAAGTCACATTCAGGATGGAAAATGTTAGCTGATTAAGGTTCTAAGTGCCAGAGTAATAAGTTTATTTTTCATAATGTTCTGGCAGTAAGAAAAATGTTGCATTTTTTAAGGGAGTTTGTTCTACATTGTTTGTGGATTAGCTTTTCAGACTCTGATTATATAGATGATAGGCTTATTTTTTTTCATTTTAATATGTACTTCTTTGGCCCTTTATTATTTAGTAAGTACAGGATCCCCACCAGAAGGTGGTGTTTTGAAAAACAAATGATAAGTTCTTATCAAATCATGATAAGAACTCTCCAATCAGGGATTCTCTTATCTAATCTACTAGTGTTCAAAGTTATAACAATATTGCATAAATAAACAGAATGAAAGGATAAAACATGTCAAATCTCTTATATGTGAGTTAAAGCTTATGTTAGTGTTAGTCGGCTCAGTGGGCCCCACTCTCTGCGACCTCATCGACTGTAGCCGCCAGGCTCCTCTGTCGACGGGATTCTCCGGGCAAGAATACTGGAGCGGGCAGCCACTCCCTTCTCCAGGGGGTCTTCAGACCCACGGCTCCCAGGCTGCAGGCAGGTCCCTTCCTGTCGGAGCCGCCAGGGAAGCCAAGGACTCTGGGTCAAGACCCTGTGCACAGCGTACTTATGTTTTTACGCATAACTGTGACAAGACTGTAATCTGGTTTTCTATCCAAAATTATACTTAGAGATTGGTACTTATATAGCCAAATTTGGGCTTCTCTGGTGGCTCAGATGGTGAAGAATCTGCCTGCAAAGCAGGAGACCTGGGTTCAATCCCTGGGTTGGGAAGCTCCCCTGGAGGAGGGCATAGCAACCCACTCCAGTATTCTTGCCTGGAGAATCCCCATGGACAGAGGTGCCAGACAGGTTACAGTCCATGAGGTTGCAAAGAGTTGGACATGACTGAGTGACTAAGCACCGCACATAGCTAAATTTGGATAATCTGAAAAAAACAAATGGAATATCCTATTCTCCACTAATTCTCAATAAAGTGTTACTACAAATAATCCAATGATCCACTTTGAGTTAGCAAACAATAAATGGGCAATGTTATATTTATTATTGGGTATAATAAATGTTAAATTTATTATTGGGTACAATAAAGCTCAAAAGCTCTATCTGTCTTTTACTTACGAAAATTCCACCATACTGACTGAGGAGGAGGGAAAAGAAAGGAGAAAGAGAGCTAAAATGTAAAATGTTAATGATTTTGCCAGGCATTCTATTTAGTCATTGAAGTTCGGGAAAGAGGGTAAGATGGGAGATGGGAAACTGACATTCACTCAGTCTCAATCCCATATGCTTCTAGCGATGAAAATTTATCAAGATAATTCTAGGGTTTAAAGATACATGTTGTCATATCATATTTGTCTTCATTTAATCGCTAAGTTGTGTCTGACTCTTTTGCGACCCCATGGACTGTAGCTGGCCAGGCTCCTCTGTCCATGGGATTTTCTGACCTCTCCCAAATAAAAGTCAACTGCTCTATCTAGTTCTTAACAATGATAATCATGATCTGATTTAGTACTGATCCTGAATATCTTAGCAATACACATCCCAGGGCTAATACAATCAGATAACAGAAGTCCTAACAATGCCACACTGTGTACATTACACTGGTAAGGAACGCATGCAAGCCAGAAGGGTCAATTCACAGTATCTGCAAATAATAAAAGCATTTATGGCTCTCAATTTTTTTCTGAGTCTAATTTTAATTGTACTCTATAAGTTTTGATATAAAGTTTTATTCTCATTAATTTCTAGGTAATTCATAACTTAGGTTTTGATTTCTTTTTGATTCAATGTCCTAAGGGAAAAAATGCAAAGAATACATGATAGATTTTATGGGTCTTCCAACCTTTAACAAAGAAATAAAACACATTCTTAAGTGTAATTTGAATAATGTGATTTTCACCTAAGGACTGACATTTAGAAGCTAACCCTTAGTATAATTTTCTGTATTTCAAAACCTTTAGATCACCATAGGCTCAATCTTTTTAATGTTAGAAGCTTGGACTGGGTATGAAACATTTTAAATTTTACCACTTCTCAACTATTTATTTCTCTAAGCATTCAAATTTCCCATTATATCACAACATCTTCAGAAATATCTAATATGCAAATTTACAGCTTGAAAGTTAAAATAAAATTTTATAGTTGGGCTCCCTTGAGATTTATTCAGTATAAGACTTTAATAGATTACATCTGCACTGTCCAATATTTGGCTATATAAATTTGAATTAAATAAAATTAAAAATTCAGTTATTCAGTAATACTAGCCATATTTAAAGTGCTCAAAAGCAACATGTTACTAATGCTACCATACTGAACAAAGTATATACAGAACATTTACACAATGACAGCAAGTTTTTTTTGGATAGCACTGGATTAGACCAAAAGAGAGAAAGGCATTTAAGATGACAATTTGCTAACAGCAAAGTTAAAACTAGAATTCGGGTCTTTTGAATTCTCTTATTTGCTCTCTATTAAACCACATACTGTCCCTAAGAACTAGTGAATAAATAAAGGATATGACCACATTAAGTAATAGGCTGAATTTAATATAAAATTATACACCATGGAATATTACTCAGCCATTAAAAAGAATTCATTTGAATCAGTTCTAATGAGATGGATGAAACTGGAGAAAAAATTACTCTATTTACATATGAAGTTCAGAAAAACAAATCGTGTACTTGGCCATCTGGAAAACCTAATAAATTCAAAAAGTATAAAGAATATCTGCCAAATCTTTGAAGGGAAAAAATTCTTCTAAAAAGTTATTGAATCAAAAACGAAATGAAAACTGAAATTCTGGGGCCTCTCCGGTGGCTCACTGGTAAGAATCTGCCTGCCGATGCAGGAGACACAAGCACAACCCCTGATCTGGGAAGACTCCACACACAATAAAGCAGCTAAGGACAGGCGCCACAGCGCTGAGCCTGTGCGCTAGAGCCCAGGAGCTGCGACTGCTGGAGCCGGTGAGCCCGAGCCTGCGCTCTGCAACAGGGGAGCCACCGCGTGAGACGCCTGCCAGCCACAGCTCGACAGCAGCCCCCACTCTCCACGGCGAGAGAAAAGCCCACGCAGAGACAAAACTCAGCACAGTCAAAAATGAAATAAGTAAAAAGATTACAAATGACCTAGAAATTAATGAAAATACAAACTTCACATGAAAGTTTACAGTATACAATTAATATTGTACTAAAGAAAGAGAAAGCCCTAGAAGTTTTTATTATTAAAACAGAAAGACTGAAAATGAAGTAAGCAGTCAATTTGTAAATCTAGAAACCACTATAACACAGAGAACAAATAATAAAAAGAATAAAATTAACAAACCATATGCTTCTTAAACTTGATTAATTTAAAAATAATTAAGTAGAGTTCTTACAAGCCTGATAAAAATAAAAGAGAGAAAATGAACATCTATAGAATTAGAAATAAAAAGCAGACACAAGTTCCTAAGCTATTAAAGAAATTATACAAAAATATTACATGTTGTTTGGACCAATAAATTTTAAAATCCAAAAGAAATAAATGTTATAAAGAAAAATATATGTTAACAAGATTGTCACAAAAGTCACAAAATATGAGACCAATAAACAAAAAAATTTCTTGCAGATTGTTAAAAACTGATCATCTGTATCAAAAGAGTAACAATGATTCAACACTTATCAACTTAAAAAATAAGATTAACAAATTCCAATAATCCCAAAGAAAGACAATGCCAAAGAAGGTTCAAAGTACCGCATAACTGCACTCATTTCACACACTAGCAGAGTAATGCTCAAAATTCTTCAAGCGAGGCTTCAACTGTACATAAACGTAGAACTTCCAGACGTTCAAGCTGGATTTAGAAAAGGCAGAGGAACCAGAGATCACATCGCCAACATCCTCTGGATCACAGAAAGAACAAGAGAATTCCAGAAAAACATCTACTTCTGTTTCATTGACTACACTAAAGCCTTGGACTGTGTGGATCACAACAAACTGTGGGAAATTCTTAAAGAAATGGGAGGCACTTTACTTGCCTCCTGCGAAATCTGTATGCAGATCAAAAAGCAACAGAACTAGACATGGAACAATGGACTGGTTCCAAACTGGGAAAGAAGTCTATCAAGACTGTGTATTGCCACTCTGCTTATTTAATTTATATGCAGAGTACATCACGTGAAATGATGGGCTGGATAAAGCATAAACTGGAATTAAGACTGCCCAGAGAAATATCAATAACCTCAGATATGCAGATGACACCACTCTTATGGCAGAAAGCAAAGAGGAACTAAACAGTCTCTTAATGAAGATGAGGAGAGTGAAAAAGCTGGCTTAAAACTCAGTATTCAAAAAGGAAGATCATGGCATCCAGCCCCATCACTTGATGGCAAACAGATGGAGCCCATCAGGCTCTTCTGTCTATGGAGTTCTCCAGGCAAGAGTACTGGAGTGGATTGCCATGCCCTCCTCCAGGGGATCTTCCCAACCCAGGGATGGAACCCAGGTCTCCCTCATTGCAGGTGGATTCTTTACCAACTGAGCCACCAGGGAAGCCCTAGATAGCGTATTAAAAAGCAGAGACATCACTTTACCTACAAAAATTCTTCTAGTCAAAGCTATGGTTTTTCCAGTAGTCATGTATGGATGTGAGAGTTGGACCATAAAGAAGGCTGGGTGTCAAAGAACTGATGCTTTTGAACTATGGTGCTGGAGAAGACTCTTGAGAGTCCGCTGGACTGCAAGGAGATCAAATCAGTCATCCTAAAGGAAATCAATCCTGAATATTCTTTGGAAGGACTGATGCTGAAGCTGAAGCTCCAATATTTTGGCCACCTGATGCAAAAAGCCCACTCATTAGAAAAGATCCTGATGCTGGGAAAGATTGAAGGCAGGAGAAGGGGATGACAGAGGATGAGATAGTTGGATGGCATCACTGACTCAAAAGTCATAAGTTTAAGAAAGCTCTGGGAGATAGTGAAGGATGGGGAAGTCCAGCGTGTTGCGCAGTCCATGGGGTCGCAAAGAGTTGGATACAACTGAGTGACTGAACAATAGCCATGTGTAAATCAACAGATTAAAAACACACTGGATAAAAATCAACAGCCATTAAGTTTAAAAGCAATCAGAAACTTCTAGAACAACAATACAAACAGCAAGCATAGTATTACAAGCAAAAATTTTAAATAAAATCCCATCAAAATCAAGAGAGTCCTCAATCACTATGACTTACTCATATTTGTTGTGAATAGTATGTTAAAGAAAATAAACTGGTGGCAGGCATCTTAGAAAAGAAAAATGATTATTATTTGCAGATGAAAGAGATGTGTAGAATATCTAAGAGAATTCTAAAAGAATCATGATAGCAAATAAAATAAACAGATTAGAAGTTGAAAGGGAATGTCCAGCTCAATACATTGACACTTAAAAATAATTAGGAATAAATGTGATGCAAGAGGTAAAACAAGACCTAAATAAATGACATAGTATGCCACACTCCTAGACAAAGAAACTTTACTATTGTAAACCTACCAGTCCTTCCTAAATCAACATATTTAATGCTCAGTGCACTCTAGGAAAAAGATTCTTCCTAAAGAGGTTTGCTCACCACTCTATCCACAATCCTTAATACAACACATAAAACCAAAGAAAGCAGGTATAAAATACAGAAAGTTGTATAAAATACAACCTATTGCATTCATCCCATTTTAAAAATAAAGAGGTGAGGTCTAAAAGGTTAAGTGACTTCACAGAGACACAGAGCTGCTTCTGAGTGTACTTAAAAGGAAACGGAAGGCTTTTTATGTGGGATGTTACATTTCAAAAGTAAACTCTTCCTCTTACAGTGGAAGTGCCATCCCTAGAAGACTACAAGACAGGAGTAATGCATTATAGCACTGGCCTAGGTACTGCCTAGTTTTGTAACCTGGGTCAAGCCACTTCATTTCTTTGAATTCAGGTTCTCCATCAGTAGAAGGAGGGTGCTGTATCAATGGATGATATTAAGGAATTGCATCCTTAATCACTTACTGTTAAGGGAATACAGAATTGTGGTTTATAAAAGGAAAATTTATCTTTCAGAAATAATGTTAAAAAGTTTATTGATAGGATGATAGGATGATATTTGCCTCAAAATAATTTGGGGAGGGCAGAGGTAAATATGAGTATAAATGAAATAAGACTAGCCATGAATGGACAACTGCCTAAGCATTAGTGTTCTATTTTTGTACACATTTTCCCTAATAAAACTTTTTTGACAATAAAAGTTCTAGTCAAAAATTATCTCTAAAACAAAGGAGTAAAGTAAGAAATAAAGCTTTCACCAACTGGAAATGCTAAATTCAGTCATTCAATAACATTTAGTCTTCAAGATTCATTAGTCTTTAGCTGCAGGGTCACACTGTCTTCAGCCTTTTGACTTCATTCCCCGCTAAGTAATATCAGAAGCACCACTATTTATGAAATTACTAATAATGGGTTTCTTGGAGACCTCATCTATCATTTTTAATGTTTCCTTCCCTTCTTTTAAGTGGGCTCTTTAATGAGAGGGGGCTGCCGCAGTCATCCAAAACATCTTTAACTAAAGGGATAATAACTGAAAATAACAAATTCACTCATTGCTTATTTTCTTTATAAAGAAGGAGAAAGACGACAGATACTATTTTAATAAAAAGGTTCAAACTCCCGTTTCATGCATAGACTTCTGCCTTCCAATACTGAGGAGGTGGAAAGTATGACCAAATTCATACAGAGCTGCTAGGAGGACAAGTAGCATCATGGCTTGGAACCAATCAGATGTCTAGCTTACCTTCTTTCAGTGTCTGACTTGAATATATCTGAGTTCCAGTGAACGGAGTTCTTAGAACCAAGCAGTTGTTCACAAACACATCATATGCAACATACAAAAGAGGAAAATACTTCCTTTCCTTCAGAGCAAAAACAGACTCAGATAGCAATCAAAAGACAAAATCTCTTTTAAGATTACTGAAAATTGAGATATTTCAAAAAGAAAAATCTATTTCATATCCTCATGTTATTTTGCTTACTTAAAAGATTAACACTGGTGGGGACCTAGGCTGAGTGAGTTAACTTACTAATGAATCTGCTATTGTTCCTTCCTGATCTTATATTTAATCCTTTTTTTTTTAAACGTCTATTTAGGATTCCCCTTTGCAATGATCCCCATATTTCTATAATTATGTCTCAATGTCTCCCATTTAAGAAATATCGAAAGCTAAAATTATAAAAATCCTAGTAGAGGATAAGAACTCTTTCAAAGAATGCTTCAGTTGGTAGATTATAAAAAACAAAATGGGTAGATAATGGATAAAATACTTCATACATGAGACTGATGTTAATTACTGTGATTAGGCAATGGAGATTTTAGAATTCAAGTGAGGACTTAAAAGATAATATGCAGAAGAAAGAATATGCAAAGAAGGTGCTGGTCAATCCAGCACCTTCCAAAGCCTGCAGCTTGAACTAGTATTACACATACAGCATGTATCCTTCCAATTGTAATAGCCTATACCCCACACATGAGCTTCCCACGTGGCACCAGTGGTAAGGAACTCAACTGCCAATGCAGGAGACATAAGATATGTAGGTTCGATCCCTGGGTCAGGAAGATTCCCTGGAGAAGGGAATGGCTACCCATTTCAGTATTCTTGCCTGGAGAATCCCATGGACAGAGGATCCTGCCAGGCTACAGTCCATAGGTTCACAAAGAGTTGGACATGACTGAAGCAACTCAGTACGCACACATGCTACCCCACACAATGAAACAGATTTCTTTCTCAAGTTTACAGAAATGCTGTAAAGATATTTATTTATTTTGCAGGTAGTTTTGTCTCCATCACAAAAGGCGTTAGTAAAATACATCCAAAAAAAGAAACAAAGAAACTTGTGGCAGAATGCAAAGTACATAAAAGCAAACAATACTGTGATTAAATCCCCACTGCATAACTTGCAACACAGGTAAACTTGAAAACTCTCCTGGCCTGAGTCTCTTCATCTATAACAACAGGGACTATTACATTTAACTCACACAGTTACAAGGATTAAGTGACAATAAACATACAAATAAACAGCACTGGCCAATGGCATGAACCAAAGAGCTTCTAGTAAAAATTGCAGATTTATAACTTAGCTC